TCCAGGCGTCCCTGATATACATTTTTTTTAATAGATGGAAATTTCATTGTAAAATGGCACTTAACTCATAATGGTTTTTTTATTCCAATTTGAATTGAAGCTAAGTGTTAGTATTAAAACTAAGACCAAGTGAAATTTATGTATTTCACCTCAAATTCAATGTAGAAGAAATAGCCTTGAGACCTTGTGGATGGCTAACTGTGCTTCATGTTATATACTGTTTACATCACTTTATTGTTATCACACCCATACCCAATGGTCATGGTTTTTTTCCACCTGCCGTTCTTCCTTGTGTTAGAGAATGATTTTGTTTGATAACCATATGGTTTGTAAGAGCCTAAAAAATTAAAACTTCCCAGCAAATATCAGAGGATATTTTCAGCCTGACTTAATCCTGGCACTTGAACAGCCTTGAAATACCAGAGTCTGAATTAAAAACAAAATTATTTCATAGTGCCATCTGTTTTCATTCATAGAGGCCTGTGACACAAAGGATATATTTAAATGTTTCCTAGCCTATTCAGATTTCCTCTAATATATTTCATTTACAACATTTGGTATCTTGTTCATTAACTAAAATAATAAAAAAAGAGGGTCACCTGGGTGGCTCAGTTGGTTAAGTGTCCAACTCTTGATCTCAGCTCAGGTCTTGATCTCAGGGTCCTGAGTTCAAGTCCATATTGGGCTCCCTGCTGGGCATAGAGCCTACTTAAAAAAAAAAACAAAAAAACACAATAATATAAAAGAGCAAAAGCTCTATTTAGAAGAAGGAAGTGTTTCAGCTGCTGCACCTTCCAAGTTCTGCTTGTAGCTAAGTTGAGATCATATATTTGTGAGGGATTTTTCCCATTTTCTAAAACATCAAGGTTAAATCAAAGTATCTTAAAATTTACAACCTATGCACTCACCCTTATTTCCTCTACTTAATGACCACAAAAGGAGAGCCAGTTTAGAAGTTTTAGGTTTTAGAATCTGAATTGTTCTCCATATTAGATTGAATGAGGCAGAATCAAAGAATTATTTGCCTTGTTTCTTGAGTTTCTTCAAAATTTACCTGATATCTAAAATCTGTTAAGCAGTTACTTTAATGCCATGGCAACAATTTTTCATGATAGAGCAAGACGAGAAGTGCTATTGGGAAATACTAGAGAAAAATATATTCTGGGTATTGGAAAAAGAGGGCTTTCAGCTAGGTTTAGGGAATTATTTAGAAAAGATTTTGCTTTTGAAGGATTTAGCTTCTGGTCATCTGAGTTTAAAATCCACAAAACCTTAAAAGATTTATCAAAAATGTCCTTGATTAACAGGATAGAAAATAGAGAAAGAAAAGATCTCTAGCAAAAATGAAATCCAAATTGTGCCATTGTGTCCTAATCTGATTTTTGAAGTACTCCCACCACAGAAACAATGTGGATTATGTAAAGCAAGTGACCTGACCCTTTCACCCTGTGGGCCTCAAGGCTTCCTACAACTAAAACTTCAAAAACTCTAACTAGAAAAATACTCACTTGAAAATTTAAAAGGGAGCCTCTCTGGAAAATTTTTTTTCTCTGATTTCTAAGAATCAAAGCACAATTGCATATTATTGCACAGCCAGGACCAATCAAGGGTAAAAAAAAAAAAAAAAAAATTCCCCCGCCCAGCATTTTCAGATAAGAAATTTCAGTTAAGATCCATAATTCAATGTAGATAATCTGTTATCTGAATTATCCTAATGTTCTTCAGGTTGATCCTCAGATTAGTGGAATTCATTTTTTTACCTATTAGCACCTGTAAAAGTCAGGACACACTCTTATAAAACAGTGATACATAATTTGGAAATTCAAACACAATTCAATAATCAAGGATAGTCAAGTGAATTCACCTTGATGGTATAATCAGACTTTTTTAAACTTAATTTTGAAATATGTGAATGATGGGATCTTTTCTCATTAAAATTTGGCAAGTGTGGCAGCTAAAACATCCTTCTTCTAGAGAGTCCTGTCAGAACTGATTGAAAAGTAGATTCCATTAAATTTGAAAGAACCCAAATTGTTTTAAAACAATTATATTTTAATCTTAAATACATTTTTACTTTACATGTATAATTCACAATATAGGATAGAGGGGATTAGAATTTTAAACTCTTGGTTTTATTGGTTTTAAAGTTTTAGAGCTAAGATTTCTAATTCTGCTTCTTATATGATCATGTTTTGAGGTGATTATTGCATTTCTAAAACATTAGCTGACGCTAATGATAGGTATGTGAATATATAAGAAACTGTCATACTGGATGTGCAAAAACCTGGTTTTGGCAAAGTTTAAAGGCCGGAACTCTAAGGGAGTTCCATTTCTTTTTCTTTTTTTTTTTTTTTTTAAAGATTTTATTTATTTATTTGAGAGAGAGAGAGAAACAGCATGAGAGGGGAGCGGGTCAGAGGGAGAAGCAGGCTCCCCGCTGAGCTGGGAGCCTGATGTGGGACTCGATCCCAGGACTCTGGGATAATGACCTGAGCCGAAGGCAGTCACTTAACCAACTGAGCCACCCAGGCGCCCGGGAGTTCCATTTCTTGTGTGGTGGGGTTAGCACCTAAGATCGACCTCATAGATAACAACTAAAAAGCTACAAAAAACAACTACCTGAAGACACTGGGGAGTGACCCAAAGCAGGCTGATTTTGTAGCAGAGTCAAAATTTGGACGATGAGACAGGCAGAAGGGCAGTTTTTCAGTTTTAGGCTTTGGCTTGGGGACACAGTGTGGTTTGAGAAAGCTGAAGCTTCTCTAGAAAACTCGGGTCTTTGTGTTCTGAGGAACTAGAAGACAGTGCCTGAAACAGCCATCACTGCTGAAAAATGAGATTGTAGGGTGGGTATTCCAGAAAAGCAGAGAGCCAGAAAAGGAGAGCTCCAGACTTCACCTGTAAACTTTGCCCAAGTCTCTGCTGACTCCTGAATCAAAATCATGCAGTCAACTCAAAGCACCTGCAGCTAAATAAAAAGAACTAAACTAAAATTTGATCTCTCACCCCACCTAAACTGAGACAGACTCTGCAGTTTGACTCTACCTAAGTTAAGAGCCTAATAAGACAAAAACATCAACATGCTTGGAAGGGATATAACAGAATCCAGAGTCTTCAAAACAAAAGAATCACAGTGTCCAGAATACAATTTAAAATTACTTATCAAATGAAGAGCCAGGAAAACATGACCCATTTCTAGGGGAAAGCCCACTCCCAAATGACTCAGATGTTGAAATTGTCAAAGACTTAAGGCAGCCATTATAAATTTGCTCAATGAGGTTAAGAAAAAATAAAAAGAAAATACCAGAAGAGATATATAATGAGGAACCAATTGGAAACATCAGAATTGAAAAGTAAAATATCTGGAAAAAAAAAATTGCTGAATGGGGTTAATAATATAATGGAGGTGACAGAGGAAAAATTTAATGAACTTGAAGATAGACCAGTAGAAATTAACCAATTTGAAGAATATATGGAAAGAAATTAACAGAGTCTTAGGAAGCTGTGGGACAATATCAAAAGGTATAAAATATGTGTAGTTGGATTTCCAGAAGAAGAGAGAAGGAGAGAGAAGAACATACAGATAATGGAATATTATTCAGCGCTAAAAACAAATGAGCTACCAAGCCATAAAAAGACACGGAGTAACCTTAAATGCATATTATTAAGTGAAAAGGCTATGGTTTCAATTATATGACATTCTTGAAAAGGCAAAACTATGGAGACAGAAGATCAATGGTTGCCAGGGGTTAGGAGTGTGGAGGGATGAATAAGTGGAGCACAGAGGATTTGGGCGGAAGGAAAATACTCTATGATATAATAACGATGGCTACATGTCATTATACATTTGTCCAAACCCATAGAATATACAACATTAGGAGTGAACTATAATATACACCATGAACTTGGGTTGATAATGATGTGTTAAAATAGGTTTGTCAGTTATAACAAATGTAGCATCCTCATGGGGGAGGTTGATATGGGGGTTACACGTGGGGGCCATATGTGGAAAATCTCTGTACCTTCCCCTCAATTTTCTGTGAACCTAAAACTGTTCTAAAAGTCTCTCTTTTTCTCTGTGTCCATTCATGTGTGTGTGTGTGTGTGTGTATAAATTCCAGAAACTCCAAAATGCCATTTAGTATTGGTTGATATAAAATAAGTATGTTTAACCTGAATTCACAGCCTTTGTTGTCTAATGTCAATACACACTGGAGACTTTTTTTTTTTTTAAGATTTTATTTATTTATTCGACAGAGAGAGAGAGAGACAGTGAGAACAGGAACACAAGCAGGGGGAGCGGGAGAAGGAGAATCAGGCTTCCCGCGGAGCAGGGAGCCCAATGCGGGGCTCGATCTCAGGACCCTGAGATCATGACCTGAGCCGAAGGCAGACGCTTAACGCCTGAGCCACCCAGGTGCCCCGACACTGGAGACTTTTCCCAAAGTATTGTAAAGTGTTCTGTTTGAACATTACATTTCTCTTATATTTCTGAAAATGCTTGTATTTTTCTTCTTGTTAAAAACAGATTCATTCCTTTTCAATATCACAACTTTATATTTTATTTGAAATAATTGGATTTAGTAATATGATTGTATTTCAAAAGCCCAGTGGGTAAAGAAAGTAGTTTTGCTCTTTATTTCATACAAAATACAGACAATAAATCATATATTTGGGGAAAAAAATAAGAGACAGTTTTGCCTAACATATTTGTTATCTGATTAGTGTGGCATCTAATGGCCAATTTAAGGGTTTTTTTTTAAATTTTTCCTGTTCCAGCGGTGCCTGGGTGGCTCAGTTGGTTAAGTGTCTGCCTTCAGCTCAGGTCATGATCCCAGGGTCCCGGGATCGAGTCCCAAGTTGGTCTCCCAGCTCAGCGGGGAGCCTGCTTCTCCCTCTGCCTCTTCCCTCTGCTTGTGCTCTCTCTCTCTTGGTCTCAAATAAATGAATAAAATTTTTCCTGTTCCAGTTCGTTAAAAGACTTCTCCCTTCCTTTCTAGCCATAGATGAAATCATCTACAGACATAGCTTTGGAGATGTTGCGGATTCAGTTCCAGATTACTGCATTAAAACATAACTGTAGTAATGCAAGTCAAATGAATCTTTTGGTTTCCCAGTGCATATATGTTTACACTATACAGCAGTCTGCTAAGTGTGTAATAGCATTATGTTTTTAAAAAAAGTACATGCTTAGGGCTCCTGGGTGGCTCAGTCATTAAGCATCTGCCTTCGGCTCAGGTCATGATCCCAGGGTCCTGGGATCCAGCCCCGCATCGGGCTACCTGCTCGGCAGGAAGCCTGCTTCTCCCTTTCCCACTCCCACTGCTTGTGTTCCCTCTTTCACTATCTCTGTCTGTCAAATAAATAAAATCTTTAAATAAATAAATAAATAATTTTTTAAAGTACATGCTTAAAAAATACTTTATTGCAAAAAAGGACTAACCATTATCTGAGCTTTCAGCAAGTGGCAATCTTTTTGCTGGGAGAGTCTTGCCTCGATGTTGATGGCTGCTGACTGATTAGGGTGGTGGTTGCTCAAGGTTGGGGTGACTAGGGCAATTTCTTATAATGAGACAACAATGAAGTTTGCTGTCTCAATTGATGCATCCTTTCATGAATGATTTGTCTGTAGCATGATAGTAGAACTTCTTTCAAAATTGGAGTCAGTGCTCTCAAACCTGCTGCTGCTTTATCATCTAAGTTTATGTAATACTCTCAGTCCTTTGTTGTCATTTGAACAATGTTCACAGCATCTGCACCAGAAGATTCCATCTCAAGAGACCACTTTCTTTGCTCATCCATAAGAAGGAACTCCTCATCCTTTGTTTTATCATGAGATTGCAGCAGTTCAGTCCCATTTTCAGGCTCCACTTCTAGTTCTCCTGCTATTTCCACCACATCAGCACTTACTTCCCCCACTGAGTAAGTCATCCATGAGTGCTGGAATCAACTTCTTCCAAACTCCTGTTAATGGTGATATTTTGACTTCTTCCCATGAATCCTAAATGTTCTTAATGGCATCTAGAATGGTGAATCCTTTCCTGAAGGTTTTTAGTTACTTTGCCCAGATCCATCAGAGAAATCACTAGCTATGGCAGCTAAAGCCTTACAAAAATGTATTTCTTAAATAGTAAAACTGGAAAGTTAAAATTATTCCTTGATCCATGGGCTGTAGAATGGGCATTGTGTTAGCAGGCATGAAAACAGCCTGAATCTCATTGTACATCTTTTTCACAGCTCTTGGATGACCAGGTGCATTGTCAATAAGCAATAATATTTTGAAAGAAATCTTTTTTCTGAGCAGGAAGTCTCAACAGTGGGCTTAAAATATTCAGTAAACCATGTTGCAAACAGATGTGCTGTCATCCAGGCATCATTGTTCCATTTATAGAGCACAGGCACATTAGCTTTAACATAATTCTTAAGGGCCTTAGGATTTTCCAAATGGTAAATGATCATTGGCTTCATAGTCACTAGCTGCACTAGCTCCTAACAAGAGTCTCCCTGTCCTTGAAGCTTGAAAGCCAAGCATTGATTTCTCTCCAGCTATGAAAGTCCTAGATGGCATCTTCTTCTAGCATACAGCTGTTTTGCCTACATTGAAAATCTGTTACTTAGTGCAGCCACCTTCATTTGTTATCTTAGCTCGATCTTCTGCATCACTTGCTGCAGCTTCTACATCAGCACTTGCTGCTTCACCTTGCACTTTGATGTTATGGAGATGGCTTCTTCCCTTGAACCTCTGCTGGCTTCAAACTTTTCTTCTGCAGCTTCCTCATCTCTCTCAGCCTTCATAGAATTGAAGAGAATTAGGGCTTAGCTCTGTATTTTACTTCGGCTTAAGGGAATGTTGTGGCTGGTTTGATCTTCTATCCAGACCATTCAAACCTTCTCTGTTTCAGTGATAAGGCTGTTTTGCTTCCTTATCATTTGTGTTCACTGTAGTAGCACTTTTAATTTCCTTCAAGAACTTCTTTGCATTTACAGTTTGGCTAACTGATGCAAGAAGCCTAGCATTTGGCCTAACTCAGCTTTCAACATGCCTTCTTCACTAAACTTAATCATTTCTAAAAGCATTTGATATAAGGTGATAGACATGCCACTCTTCTTTCACTTGGACACTTAGAGGCCATTGTAGGGTTATTAAATTGGCCTAATTTCTATAGTTGTGTCTCTGGGAATAGAGGGGCTTGAGGAGAGGGAGAGGGAGAGAGATGGGAGAACATTTGATTGATGGAGCAGCCAGAATGTACACAGCATTTATCAATTAAGTTTGCAGTTTTGTATGGACACAGTTCTTGGTGCCTGAAAACAATTACAACAGTAACATCAAAGATCACAGACTACCATAACAAATATAATAATAACGAACAAGTTTGAAATATTGCAAGAATTACCAAAATGTGACACAGAGACATGAGGTAAGCATATGCTGTTGGAAAAAATGGTGCTGATAGACTTGCTTGATGCAGGGTTGCCACTAACCTTCAATCTGTAAAAAACAAAAACAAAAACAAAACAAAACAAAAAAACCCTGTGTATCTGCAAACTGCAATAAAGCCAAGCAAAGGGGGAATGCCAGAGTATGTATGTATGATTGTATGTTCTGATCTGTCTTTGGCATGGAGAAAGCAGTGTTGTGAGTCAAGCTCTAAATCTGTTTAAGATGTTTATTCCACTACCAGCCTAGAGATGAACAGAATCACCCATTTTAGGCACACTGCCTTCCATCCCCTACCCTCCCTTTCCCAGATGAAATCTATTTTTAGTATTTTTATCAATTTGAGTACTTTATAAGGCAGAGCATGTATATATGATTTCTGAGATTATGTATTATCACATAGAAAGAAGTGGGGAAATGCCCCACCTTATGCTTGGCAATGGCTCCTCCACAGCTGGCCGATTTAATAACGTTAAGATTAAAAGGAGATAAGGAAAGAGGAAAAAAACATTCTGTTGTTTACTCAGCAGGTCTCTTAGTCTCCTTCTGAGAGCTACAGATTTGTTACAGGATGGTAGGGTAGTTCTTAAAAATGTTTTTAAAAGTAGTAGTCTTGGGGCACATGGTGGCTCAGTCAGTTAAGAGTCTGACTCTTGGTTTCAGCTCAGGTCATGGTCTCAAGGTTGTGAGATCAAGCCCCACATTGGGCCTCCAAACTCAGCGTGGAGATTGCTTGAGATTCTCTTCCTCTCCTTTCCCTTCTGCTCCTCCCCCACTTGCATGCACTCTCTCTTTCTCAAATAAATAAAATCTTAAAAAAAAAAGTAGTAGTAGTAATTATTCAATTAGAAATGGTAACAAATTAGAAGATATCTAAGAGCATGCTGTTTCCCATCCCTCCACACCCCAGTGTCATACCCTAGAGAAAACTCTAACGTTAATTTTCTATTTTTAGTTCTCTGGTTTCTGCTCTAATTTTAGACAAAATGCTTTTTTTCTCTCTCCCAATTTATTCGTCTGTTCATCCATTGACCCCCCCAATTTGAATAATGTTTTCACTCATTTGTACTATAACTCTCTGCCCTTTCCTAATTAGATATTATTTTAAATTTTCGATTGATGACTTTTTAGACTGAAATCATCCTAAATCTGTCCTCTACATCCTCATTTGACAGGATCTCTTCAAGATCCATTTTATGGGCGCCTGGGTGGCTCAGTTGGTTAAGCGACTGCCTTCAGCTCAGGTCATGATCCTGGAGTCCCTAGATCGAGTCCCGCATCGGGCTCCCTGCTC